GCCCGCTATCCCGGAAAATGAAATGGAAAATGAACGAACAGACTCTACCATCGCATTCTTCTTTGCCTTTCCCTTCCCCCCCACACTTTCGGTCTTCCATCGCGTCCTGAGCGTGCTCGCAAACGGCACTGGTGCGTGTGCCGACCTTGAATAGCCGTCGCGCCCGCGAGCACTCGCCTGTTTTGGGGGCCAGGGACCACCCGGCCATTTCTTCGCCTGACCCCCATCCTCTTATTTTCTTTCGCCCCACTCGACTTGTTTCCCCTGCGCATCCTCATCCCTCTCATCTTCGTTTTCCTGCCTCCTGCTTGTCTTTATGACGCTGCGCGCATCCCCACCAGCCAATCCAGCAACGATGCCCAGGCGAGCTGCCTTGATCAGGAAAGTGGGCGAACCTGCAGTAGGACAGTGTGTCGGCGACAGCATGAGCAAGCCTGCCAAGCCTTCGCGGAGATTCCGCTCCGCGAACCTCTTTGAGACCTCTTGGGGCCGTGTTGGCAGTTCTCTCGTGGCTGACCTCGGAATATGTTGGGGACCTCGCGGGTCTCCCCATCGCGGAGTCTTTGGGCCCCCGTGGGGCGATCTTGCACGGATGCGCAGATGTTGTTCTCCCCCCTCGTGGCGCTCTTGGGCGCTCTTCGGACCGTCCTGGAGGAGGAGGAGGAGGAGGAGGAGGAGGAGGAGGAGGAGGAGGAGGAGGAGGAGGAGGAGAGGGAGAGAGGAGGAGGAGGAGGAGAGGGAGGAGAGGAGGGAGGAGGAGGAGGAGGAGAGGAGGGGAGAGAGAGGAGGAGGAGAGGAGGAGGGATAGGACCATCTTCAGAAGGAGGAGGAGGACATACCTTGGGGCTCTTCTGTTGGGCCACCTTGGGGTCTTCTTGAGGTCCGAGCGGCCCATCGCAAGCGAAAGCCGAGAGGTCAAAGCATATAGATGTCCTTTTAGATGTTGGTTTGGCTTTGGTTTCTTCGGAGGGCCTTGGGTTGGGGGAGAGGGCACGTTGAGCCGCCTCGGGGAGCGTCTCGGACCCGCTTGGAGGTACGCTGGAGGTTACCTTGAACAATATTCGTTTGTCTTCAGCTATATACGAGGCCATCTTGGGCTATCTTGAACGCTCGGACACCTCGCGGCCGCCCCCGTCCAGACCCAAGGAGAGGGAGGAGGTAAACCTTCCCGACTATAGGGGGAGGAAGGAGTCTGGAACAGGAGACGCGCTAAACGACGTCCGCTCGTCCCCTCGCCCGCCCGATTTGACCTGCTCGTCAGAGTGGCAGTCCTACTCAACGGGATCCCCACCCAGACTAACCAATCGCACCCGGACCACCCAGACCACCGAGATCACTTGGACCACCAAGACAATCCGGATCGACTAGACCAATCGGACCTCCGGGACCAGCCAGACCCACCAGACCACCCGGACCAACCAACCAGACCAACAGGACCAACCGGACCAACCAAACCAACCAAACCAACCGGACCAACCAGACCAACCAGACCACCAGGACCAATCGGACAAACCAGACCAACGGGACCAGCTGGATCCCTTGAGATCCGACGTTGCAAAAAAATACAACATCGAAACAAAAAAAAAAATGTCTCGCCCAGAGCCCTGGAGCCAATCTTTTTGCATCATTTTTGGAGCCGGATCTCCTGGGGCCCTAAAATTGAGCGAAAACGCCCGTTGTGAAAAAATTGCAATGCCAGGAGGATCTCAGGGCAGAACGCACCATCCGAACCAACCGGACCAGCCGGACCAACCGGACCAACTTACCGTACCAACCAGACCAACCAGACCAACCGGACTTCCGGATCACCCACGAGACAAGGTACCCAGACCACCCGCAATTGGAGCAGCCAGACCAGACGGACCAATTGGACCAACCGGACCAACCGGACCAACCAACCTAACCAGACCAACCAGACCAGCCGGCCCAACCAAATTAACCGAACCCCCCGGACCAAACGGTCCGTTTGGACCAACCAGACCAGCCAGACCAAAGCGGCCAACCAGACCGACCAGAACAACCAGACCAACTGGACCAACCCGATCACCTGCCTGACCACCCAGACCACACCCTGGACCAACCAGACCACCCGGACCACCCGAACCAACCAGACCAACCCGACCAGCCAGAGGAACCAGACCAACCGGACCAATGGACCAACCGGACCAAATGGACCCCCCATGACCCACTGGACCCACCAGACCAACCAGACCACCCGGACCAACTAGACCAACGGGACTTCCCGGATCATCCGCCAGACAACCCAGCAATTGGACCATCCTGACCACCCGGGTTAACCGGACCAGCCGGACCAACCGGACCAGTTGGACAGACCGGACCAACCGGACCGCGCGGACCAGCCGGACCGGACGGACCAGTTGGACCAACCGGACCAGTCCAACCAGATCAGCCGGACCAACTTGACCAACCGGACCAACCGGACCACCGGGACCAACCCAGTACCAGACCAACCAGACCACCCAGACCACCCCGACCAACCGGACCAACCAGACCAACCAGACCACCCAGACCACCCCGACCAACCAGACCACCCAGACCAACCGGACCACCTGGACCAACCGAACCAGCCGGACCAACAAAACCAATTGGACCACCTGGACCAACCAGACCTCCCGGATCACCCGCCAGAACACCCGGACGACCCCCCGGCACCCAGACCTTTTGGACCAACCGGACCACCCAGACCAGCCAGATTAACCGGACCACCCCGACCGAACTGATTTTTTGGACCAACGTACCAGCGGGAGCAACCAGACCAACCGGACCAACCGAACCATTTGCACATGGACTAACCGGACAAACCGAACCAACCAGCTCTCGGGCCAGCCGGACCAACCGGTCCGGACCAACCAGTCCAGACCAACTGGAACGGACTAACGGGACAAACCGGACCAACCCGACCAACCCGACCAACCCGACCAACCCGACCAGTTCAACCAACCCGACCAACCGGACCAACCAGACCACCCGGACCATTTGGACCAACAGGACCACCCGAACTAATCGGACCAACCTGACCAACCGGACCAACGGGATTAACCAGACCACCCGGACCACCCGGACCACCCGGACCCACCGGACCAACCGGACCAGACCAAGCGGACAAACGGAACCGCGGACGCGGGGGCGATTATGATCATTGGGGCCGTCCTGGAGATCCTCTCGGAGGCCGTCTTGAGAGTCTCGTGGAAGCCTCTGGGGCCGACGTAGACCATCTTGGGCAATCTGAGGCCGTGTCGGGTGCATGTTGGGCCGTCTCGGAAACATATTGCGGCCATCTTCCCAGACCCCCGACGTAATGATTTTTTCATTACGTCGACCCCCAGAGGTCCCGACCCTTTCCCCATGACCGGCTTTGCATCCTGAATCGTTTTTTGATTAGGCCCGGTGAGGGCCCCCGGAGGCTGAAAATTAGCAAACACTTCCCGTCATGATTTTTTCATATTTCGAGGGGGTTTGGGTTGGGCGGTTTTTAGGCCGTCTTGCAGCCATCTTGGCCGTCTTCGAGGCGATTTGGGCGGTGGGATACGCATTTTCGGCAGCCTCGTGGGTCCTCCCAGGTGCCCGGCCGGATCGGCCGAGGGCCCACTGAGAGTGTCTGAAAAGGCCAGGCAACTACCTATAACAGCCTAACGTCTGGCACGCCGCGCACCTGCTTGGCGAGCCGACGGGGTGCGGCGGATCGAATGGCCATCAGCCCATCTCGCCACCGTGCCTGGATTCCCAGACATCGGGCGTCTCGAAAAAATCGAGGCGGAGTAGTTTTTGGCCTCTCGGGGCCCTCGCCGGGCCCCGGGACCGTCAAAAAACGACTCGGGATGAGAAACCGGTCCCAGGGAAGCGGTCGGGAGGTCGGGGGCCCGCGTCTCGAAAAAATCGAGACGTCGGATGTCTGGGAACAGGGTGCGGCGGATCGAATGGCCATCAGCCCATCTCGCCACCGTGCGTGGATTGTCGGCCAGAGCCCTCCTGGACGCCAACTGGGGCCTCCTGGGATGCCTCTTGAGGGCCTCTTGGGCATATCCTTGGCGCCTCCTGTCCTTCTCTTGGGGCACTCTTGGCCTCCGAATGCAGTTTTCCGGCTCATCACTGCTGAGCGCTTCATGACGGATTTCCGGGGCAGTGGCGTCGAAGCGATCCAACACGGACTGTCCAGCGGCGGCGGCGGCGGCGGCGGCGGCGGCGGCGGAGGAGGAGGAGGAGGAGGAGGAGGAGGAGGAAGAAGAGGAGGAAGAGGAGGAGGAGGAGGAGGAGGAGGAGGAGGAAGAGGAGGAGGAGGAAGTTGAGGAGGAGGAGGAGGAAGAGGAGGAAGAGGAAGTTGAGGAGGAGGAGGAGGAGGAGGATCGTCTCCCCCCACTTCCTCCCGCTGTGGGCGACTCCCGAGGGACGGCTGTGGCCACTTGTTGGGGGGGGGGCCTCCAGAGGGCCCCCTGCCGGCCAGGGAGGCAGGGCCGCTCCCGGGGGGGCGAGGCACGACGTCGTCGGTCTGTGCCCGCCGGGCCCAGACCTCGGGCGTCTCGAGAGAGTCGAGGCGGAGGTTGTTCGCCGTCCGCCCGCCCAGACCTCGGGCGCCTCGAAGAAAGTCGAGGCGGAGATGTTGTCGCAGTTTCCGGCCCCTTCGGGGCCCTCGCGGGGCCTCGGGACCGTCAAAAAAACCACTCGGGATGAAAAACCGGGCCTGGGGAAGCGGTCGGGAGGTCGGGGGCCCGCGTCTCGAGAAAATCGAGACGTCGGATGTCTGGGAGTCCCACCCGTTGGATTGTCCATTGGCCTCTCGACTGTCTTCAAACGAAACCACCCCAGCGCCCCCGCCAAGCTAAGAATGCACCTCGACGTGGGAGCGGGTGGAGAGCTCCGCGTCTGAGAGTACTGCGTGCTCTCTTGAGGTTGAGCTCCGAGTCACAGGGAGCGTGCTGCCAGCGGCGACCACTCCCCCTTCCCACGCACGATTCGAGCGAGCTAGCGGCTGGGCGATTGGAGTTACCGCCCAAGGTGGCGGAGAGTGATGTTGTTGGTCGGTCGCGTAGCGTTTGGGATGCCCATCGTTGTGGGCATCGGCCCAGGTCTGCCAGCAGTGGCCGAGTGTTCGGCGATGTGTTTGTTGATATGCAGGGAAGCCCGGTCTGTCGGCGGGGCAGGTTTCCCTGGGCCTCTCTCCCAACGCCTGCCCCTCGCCAGAGATGGTCTGCAGGCTGGCTCCGTCTCCAGACCGTGGTGGGAGATCGTGTAGTCGGTCGACGCTTGGACTGCCCCAACCACTTGATCATGGGGGAAGTCAGCGGCCAAGCCGCTGGCCGTTCCGCGCCGTGGCCATCTTGGCTCGAGCATCTGGTCCAAGCCGTCGCGCGGCTCCGTGCAGCCGCCGCCAGCCTCCTGCGGTCCTCGGCGCGAGCCCGCCCGCCGCTGGCCCATGGCCCTGCCAGTGGCGCAGGGCTGGGATGGCGCGGGGTCCGGCCAGGCCGTCGGGCTGCTGGCGCTGTGCATGGTCGGCCACGTCGTCGCCACGCTCTGCGTGTGCATGTCCGGGGGCGACCTGCTGACGGCGGACGTGCCCCGGCTCTCGAGGAGCACGCGGAGCCTGCCGGCCACAGCCGCCGCCGGCCGCGGAGCCTGGGGCAGCCCGGGGGGCGCCGCCGCGGAGGGCGAAGCCGCGGCGGCGGGGCGCGCTGCCTCGCTGGGCGCGGGCGCGGGAGGGCGCGCGCGCCCGAGAGCGGCCGACGGGGCCGCGCGCGCCGCGGCGGCCTCCCCCCCCTCCTCCTCCCTCCTCCCCTCCTCCTCCTCCTCCCTCCTCCTCATCCTCCTCCTCTCCTCCTCCTCCTCCTCCTCCTCCTCCTCCTCCTCCTCCTCCTCCTCCTCTTCCTCCTCCTCCTCCTCCAGAGGCCGGCGCGGGCGGCGCGGGAGGAGCCGCGCGCCCCACAGGGGGCGCGGGGCAGCGGGAGGCGGCCGGCGGCGCGGCCGCGGAGGCAGCGGCGCCAGCGGAGGGTGCCGCGGGCGAGGCCGCGCGTGCACGGGCAGCCGCCAGGTGCAGCAATGGGGTCGACGATGAGCACAGGCTGCGCAATCGCGCGTGCATGGACCGGTACAGGCAGGTCATGATCGGGATGGCCAGGGAGCCGGGCGTCGACGTCGTGTTCGGGGCCAACGATGGGGTGCAGTTCGAGCCCGCCGTTTACATCGGCTACTGGAAGAGGGTGCCCCACCACACCCGCGTGCTGGTGGAGCCCGTGCCCTCTTTGTTCGCCAAGCTCTCAAAGAACCTCGCCAATCTGACCACGGCGCCAGTACTCATAAACAAGGCGGTGAAGACCGCTGGCTCTTCAGATTCCTTGGACCTCTACTGCTTTGACACCGCCATGGTCGATGATTGGGTGCTCAACGGGCGGACCACGCTCCCGGAAGAGGTCAGGAAGCCGGAGGCGTATTGGAACGCCCTGTGCTCCACGGAGAAACAGCAGCTGCTGGACCGCGCGAACATCTTGCGCCCGCTTGCGCGCAGAAAGATGACACCTGCAGATATAAAGCGCGTGCTGAATGAGGTGGACAAATTTGTACGGCTCCACCACGTACCAGCGGCCAGCCCGGCAGATATAATTGCGGAGGTGTCTGCGAGAGGGGACTTGAGCGCAGGCGACATCAAGTATGTGCAGATAGATGTGGAGGGTATGGACAAAGACATTATGCTGGCCCTGCCTTTTGGAAAGAACGATTTCTTGCCAAAGGTCGTCCTCTATGAAGGTTGCTACCAGGAAGTCTCCGAACACCTGAACGAGCACGGCTACGAGTCGTGCTGCTGCGTCAACGTATACGGCACCAACACCCTCGCATATCGGCCATGAAGCGAACGCGCGCTTGAGAGCGGCGGCTGCTCGGCATCGACGTCAAGGATGTTGCCTCGCGGAGACTCTGGGTGTAACCGCATTCCGGACGTGCGCGACGAAGTGACCTTGCAGTGCGTGCGCCGGGTCCGAGTGCGCCCAGCGCGAATGAGCGGTGTGCTTGACGGGGGGATGCAATCCTTGGCGAAGGAGCCGTGAGCTCCAGCGCGAGCGCTCGAGTGCAAGCCGACGTTGTTTCCCCCTTCTTTCCTCCCTGCTCGAGCGTGTTGTCACCTTTGCCACTGATGCAGACTCCAGGTGCATTTGCAAGGGTAGTGCCTTCAGCCTGCTAGTGAGGGCGGCGTGCAGTAGTACCAGTCCGTGCGAGGTGCGGGGAAGGCAAACCGACAAAAACAGTGGTCGCTTCGCGGTCGCTTTCTAGGAAGTCGTAGATCTGGTTGCCTTCTGGACCGCCTGCCTGGCTGGCCTCGGGGACTGCCCAGCATGCTCGCCCCTCGCGTCGAGGAAAAGTGCTGGCCCGTCGCGTCGCCCGGTGGGTCTGCAGGGATGTACCATGACCGCCGGTATTCCAGTTTTCCATGCAGCAGCCAGTACAGCAGGTATGGGCCTGAGGGTCGCGCTCGTGCGGTGGACGTCGTCGCGGCGCTCCTCGGACCCTTTCGGTCGTCCCACCCGTCGTCATGGGCTCTCGTCGATGGCGCACTGACGTCGGCGGGGATCGTTCGCGCATCGCATGGCACAGCAGCAACGACTTCTGCCATCCAATTGCACATGTCCCGCTGATTCAAATCTAGTAGCCTTCGGCCCATCCCGCTTCCGTGCCCAGGGTTGTGGACAAGAGAATATTGGGGTCTATTGAAAGGGCTCTTTGGGCATCTTGGAGTCCTCTTTGGGGCCATTCAGAGGCGTCCTGGGGACATCGTCGGGGTCTCCGGGGCCCTCTTGGAGCCTGGGGGTGGTCTCGGGGGCCATCTTCGGCGTGGAGGGTTTCAAGATCTCCGTCGAGCTCCTTTCCCAGGGGCCCCTCAGTGAGGGCCTCGTGGCGCCCTCTTGGGCCCCCGTGGGAGGCCTCGAGGGCTCCTCTTGGGGGCCTCGGGGGCCTCTTCGAATGGGATTGGTGGTCCTCTTCCTCCTCCTCCTCCCCCTCCTCCTCCTCCTCCCTCCTCCTCCTCCTCCTCCCCCTCCTCCTCCTCCTCCTCCTCCTCCTCCCCCTCCTCCTCCTCCTCCTCCTGTGAGCCGCGTGTAATGGGATTGGTGCCAGGCGACGGACGCGAACGGGGTCGTTTGTGCCGACCTTCGCGCAGAAGTCTGCAGCGCACAGGTCGCGCGTCAGCGCCCTCCCGGTCTCCCGAGGTGGCGCGGCCTGCGCGGGCGGCCCGCGCAGGCGGCCGCGGCGGAAGGTCGTCCTCCTCCTCCTCCTCCTCCTCCTCCTCCTCCTCCTCCTCCTCCTCCTCCTCCTCCTCCTCCTCCTCCTCCTCCTCCTCGCCCTCAATCCGTGAAACCCTTGCAAATGTTTGAAACGAATGTGCGCATCGTTGAGGCGAAAGCCACATTCTTAAAACGACGCGCCTTCAATCCGTGAATCTCTTGCAAATGAGTAAAACGAAGGTGCTCGGCGCTAAGGCGAGAGCCACATGTTGAAAACGACCCGCCCTCAATCCGTGAAACCCTTGCAATTTTTGGAAACGAATGTGCGCATCGCTGAGGCGATAGCCACATTTTGAAAACGACCCGCCCTCAATCCGTGAAACCCTTGCAAATGTTTAAAACGAGTGCGCGCGGCGCTAAGGCGAGAGCCACACTTTGAAAACCGCCCGCCCTCCATCTGAGAAATGTCTACCACTTTTAAAGCTTCAAGATATAACTGGTGAGGAAGTCTTTGGCGAAACGACAGGCCCGCCCTAAAAACTGGCCTCGGGGTACGACAAGGAAAAATCATCGAAGACGCATACGGCGAATCACCGCCGCCCCCTGCCTTTTTGGAAGCGCCTATGTGGCCGAACGTTGAGGCCAGACCTGCCAAGCTATCCGACCATGTGTTCCCCGAATCGGTTTGGAAAGCCTTCGGGGAACACGTGGGCATCTTGAAGGTCATCTTGGCCGTCTGGAGGCCATTTTGACCTTCTCGGGCCTTTTTGGAGGACGTCTTGGAGGGCTCTTGGGCCGTCTTGGAGGCCATCTTGAGCGTTTTGGAGGCCTCTTGGGCCGTCTTGGGGGCCTCTTGGGGCCGTCGTGGGCGATCTTTGTGACAACTTGGGCCGTCTCGGGCCGTCGGGCTTCAAAAACCTAGAGATAATTAATGATTTTGGCCTTTTCGGGCCTTCCTGGAGGCCCTCTTGAAGGCCTCTTGGGCCGTCTTGGGCCATCTTAAGGCCATCTTCGGCCGTCTTGGTGGGCTCCTGGCACGTCTGACGCCGTCGGGAGCCATCTTTGGGGCCTTTCTGGGCCGACTTGGGGCTCTCTTGGAGCGCTTCGGGGCCGTCTTAGAGGCCATCTTGGAAGCCTCTTGGCCCGTCTCGGGGCCCTCTTGGGACCGTTTTGGGGGCTTCTTGGACCGTCATGGGGCCAACTTGGAGGCCTCTTGGGCGATCTTGGGGCGACCTTGGGGGCCTCTTGGGCCGTCTTGCGCCGACGGAAAGCCGAAAAGGCGCAAATACCAAAATCCTTAAAAAACCTAGGGAACACCAATGATCTTGCCTCCTCGGGCCTTCCTCGAGGACCTCTTGGAGGCCTCTTGGGCCGTCTTGGAGGCATCTTGGGGCCATCGCTGCCGTCTTGGAGGCCATCTTGGCCGTCTTGGAGGCATCTTGGAGGCCATCTTGGCAGTCTTGGAGACCTCTCGGGCCGTCACGGGGCCATCTTGGAGGCCTCTTGGGCGATCTTGGAACGATCTTAGGGGCCTCTTGGGCCGTCGGAAAGCCGTCGGAATGCCGAAAAGGCGCAAATATTTGTCAAAAACCTAACGGAAATCAGCGATTTGGGCCTCTTCGGGCCTTCCTGGAGGACCTCTTGGAGGCCTCTTGGGCCGTCTTGGAGGCCTCTTAAGGGCCTCTTGGGCCGTTTTGGGCCATCTTGAGGCTATCTTAGGCCGTCTTGGGTGCCTCTTGGACCGTCTTGGAGGCATCTTGGGGCCATCTTAGCCGTCTCGGAGGGCATCTTGGCCGTCTTGGAGGCATCCTGGAGGCCATCTTGGGCCGTCTTGGGGCCGTCAGGGGCAGGAAAATCGTTTGCAGCCACCTCTGGGCAAGCCTCCCCGGACCACGGCGGGACGCGCCGGAGCCCACTGGGAGAGTTCTTTTGGAAAAGAACCAAAACCAAAACCGTAAGAAGTTCAGCACGCCAGGCACCCCTGTGATGAATCTACAGGGGGCGGCGGATTGTAGTGGCCTTCGGCCAGTGCCGCCGATCTGGGTCGTTTGGGGTGCCCCCCAGACTGGGCGGCGACACTTCGCCGACATACACGCACGCGCACGCACGCACACACACACACACACACACACACACACAAACACACACACACACACACACGCACACACACAAACACACACACACACACACACACACTACATGCACCCACAGACACACACACACACACACACCACCACATTCACACACGCGCGCCACCATCGCAGGCACATACACACGCACACGCCAGCAACACACACACACACATACAAACACACACACACGCACAACGCACAAACACACACACACACACACCACGCACACCGCACAAACACACACCACACAACAAACACGCATTTCACCGCCACCATCGTTTTCCCCGCATTTGTTCTCCGTTTTCCACTCTTGCCCCGTTCCACTTCTCTCTCCCTCTTTCCCCGATTCCCTTCTCGCGTCCGCGGACAAACATTACCCCGCGCACACGCGCACACACCCCCCATCCCCTCCATCCCTGGCCGCGCCACCCCGGCAACCACCCCAGAGGCTGAAGCTCAGCCTCGAGGCTGTAGCTGAGGCCCCTTCAAGCTTACACGCCATGGACCCCCCCCTCCCTCCCCCGCGCCATCGGAACCCACGCCACCGGATCCCCCCCCCCTCCTCCCCCCCCCTGTCCACAGGCGAAGCCGGGAACCGGACCTCCCCCCCTCCCCTCCACGCCACCGGAACCCACGCCACCGCCGGAACCCCCCACCCCCCCCCTCCCCCTACCCCGGCGGAGCCACCTCGGCCACCGGACCCACCCACCCCTCTTCCCCCAATTCCCCTTGGCACCACGCGGGACGGGGAACCGGACCCCCCCCCCCCACGCCACCTGAACCCACGCCACAGGAGCCCCCACCCCTCCCCCTACCCTGTCAGAGCCACCCCAGTCACCCCCTCCCCCTTCTACTCACACGCCCGATCGGCGGATTTATAAGAAAGAGGAATGGAGGAGGAGGAGGAGGAGGAGGAGGAGGAGGAGGAGGAGGAGGAGGAGGGGAGGAGGAGAGGAGGAGGGAGGAGGGAGGGAGGGGAGGAGGGAGGAGGGAGGAGGGAGGAGGAGGAGGAGGAGGGAGGAGGAGGAGGAGGAGGAGGAGGAGGAGGAGGAGGGAGGAGGAGGGGGGGAGGAGGGAGGAGGGAGGAGGAGGAGGAGGAGGAAGAGGAGGAGGAGGAGGAGGTGGAGGAGGAGGAAGGGGAGGAAGAGGAGAAAGGGGAGGAAGGGGAGGACGAGGAGGAGGAGGAGGAGGAGGAGGAGGAGGAGGAGGAGGAGCGGTCCCGAAGGCGATGTGGGCTCCCGAATCCATAGCCGCGTTCGTCCGGTCGAAGTCCCCGACGGCCAGGCATGGGTTGGCGAAATCGATCTTACCCCCGCGATGTCATCGGCATCGCCGGCGCTGAGGTTCGGCCAGCATGGCGCCCCGCTCCGAGCCGCCAAAGCGCCGTCGGAACTCAGCCGCCAGTCCGGAAGCGTACTCCCCTGAGATCCTGGCGTTGCAGTTTTTTCATTGCGAGCGTTTTCTCCTCTTCCTGCTCATCATCATCATCATCATCATCATCATCATCATCATCATCATCATCATCATCATCATCATCATAATCCATGGTAGTGGTGGTGGAAAATCGGCCCATCACCCGTCGGTTCCTCCTGGGGGGCCTGAGATCCTGGCGTTGCAATGTTCACCACATCAGCATCATCATCATCATCATCATCATCATCATCAGCAGCAGCAGCAGCAGCAGCATCATAATATTCTTCATCATCATCATCATCATCATCATCATCATCAGCAGCAGCATCATGATAGTCGTTGTCATCAGCATTAGCATCATCATCAGCATCATCACCATCGTCGTCAACATCAATATCATGATAATAATCATCAACAGCAGCAGCATCAGCATCAGCATCATACTCATCATCAGCATCATCGTCATTATCAGCATCATTAGCAACAGCATAATCATCAGCATCATCAGCATCATCATAATTATCGTCATCATCACCACCATCATATTTATCACCATCATCATCCTCATCATTCGCATCATCAGCAGCAGCAGCACCACCACCACCACCATAATATGCATCAGTATTATCGTCTTATACACATCATCATCAGCATCATCAGCAGCATCATCATCGGCATCGTTATCGTCGTCATCGTCATCGTCATTATCCACCTCCTCCCTCTCCTCCTCTCCCTCCCCCCCTTTCCCCCCCACTCCCGTCGACAGGCAGCGAGGCCCAGGACATGCTCGACAGCTGCACAGCGCTTGAGGAGGCGCCCCCTGTCGGCCCACCCGAAAGTGCCGGCGTTGTCGCCGCCGTGGTCGCCGTCGTCGTCGTCCTCCTCCTCCTCCTCCTCCTCTTTCTCCTCCTCGTCCTCGTCCTCGTCTTCGTCCTCGTCCTTGTACTCGTCCTGGTCCTCGTCCTCGTCCTCGTGCTCGTCCTCGTCCTCGTCGTCGTCGTCGTCGTCGTCGTCGCCCCCTTCGCCTCAAGCCTGCGCTCCCACGGCAGCCGCGGGAAGGAGGGGGGGCCCCCATGCACGGCAGGCTCGCGTGCTGCTGGCGCGGCGCCGCCCCTTGCCGCGGGCGTCCGCGGGCGTTCTGAGGCGGAACGCCGCCAGCGGCCCACACAGTAACCGACCAATGTAGAACGACCTGGCGGCTGAAGCAGCCGCCGATCGATCCGCGCCAGGCCACGAGCCTGCCGCAGCGTCCACGCGGTCCCCCGAAGTCCGGACCCTTTCCCCGGAGCCGGCTTCTCCTCCGGAGTCGTTTTGTGGACGGTCCCAGGGCCTGGCGAGGGCCTCCAGAGGCCGAAAACGATGAAAAAGTTCATTGTCCCCACGGGTGGAGGGACGTTGCAGTCGACGCTCGAGGCGTGGCACGACCCTACAGCTGCACTCTGCTCGAGCGACGACGGGGGCTTCCGAGCGCCGCGGCGCGGACCACCCTTCCCTCTGGGACCGAGCATGGCTCGGCGTGGCGTCCGTCTTCGCCAGCCCTCCCCCGCTTGGGCTACCGCCAGAGCCGAGCCTCGCTCGACGCGGTGTCCGTCCGTCCGTCTGTCCGTCCATCCCCCCGTGCGCTTCCCGCCGCGGCCGAGCCTCGTTCGACGCGACGTCCGTCCGTCCGTACGCCCGGGCCGCCTCGTCTTCGGGGCGCCCTCTCCGGCTCTCTCGCTCCTCCTCCCTCCTGCTTCTGCTCCTGCTTTTGCTCCTGCTCCTCCTTCTCCTCCTCCTCCTCCTCCTCGTCCTCCTCCTCCTCCTCCTCCTTCTCCTTCTCCTCCTCCTTTTCCTCCTCCTCGTCCTCCTCCTCCGCCCCTCTTTCCTTTTCCATCCCGTCTCCTAGTAAAAAAATCATCCCTGTCGCACCCCGCGGCGTGTCGGTAATGCGGGCCGGGCGTGTCGCTTGAGACTTCCTCAAAATCTGTTGTCCCTTAAGCCAAAAATCCACAACAGCTTCACGGATGGAGGACGGGCCGTTTTCAAGATGTGGTTTTCGCCTTAGCGCCGCTCATGTGCGACCTAAACACTTGCAACAGCCTCACGGCTGGAGGGCGGTATGTTTAAAAATGTGGCTCCCGCCGGAGCGCCGCGCACATTCGTTTCAAGACTTTCCTGCAGATGCAAGGATTTCCATGGCTTGCGTCCCAGAAGTGGTGTTCCGGAACGATGTAGGATTGCCACAGCGAGACAACTACGTTGATTCGCGGTGTTGAAGTCCCACGAATGGTGTTCTGGCACGGTTCAGGATCGTCAGGACGCAACAGGAACGTGGATCCGCGCCGTTGAAGTCACAGGCATGGTGTTATGGCATGATTTTCTGGCACGGTTCTGGATTTTCAGACGGTTGTCTTCCAACGGGACACGTTTTTGGTTGAAAACGAATAGTTGTAAGAATTTCTGACGAGGGAGCTTCGGGGGAGGGTTTATTGCAGCATGGTCGATGACATTTGGTTTTGCACTGGTCCTCCTCTTCCATTCTTTTCCTTGAGAGTAATCCCTCCCTGTCGCACCCCAAGGCCAGTCGGAACGGCGGCTTGGGCGATTCGTTTGAGACTCCTTTACCATTTATGAGCTTCAAGCTTAAAACAGACAGCAGCTTCACAGATGGAGGGCGGGTGGTTTTCAAAATGTGGGTCTCGCTTTTGCGCCGCGCACATCCGTTTTCTAAGATTCGCAAGAGCTTCACGGATTGAGAGCGGGTCGTTTTCAAAATGTGGTTCTCGCCGTAGCGCCGCGCACATGTTTGTCTAACGTGTTGCAAGAGCTTTACGGATTGAAGGCGGCTCCTTTTCACAAGTTGGTTCTCGCCTTTGCGCCGCGCACATTCCTTTTAAACTGCTGCAAGAGTTGAACTGATTGAAAGCGGCTCCTTTTCGAGGTGTGGCGCTCGCTTCAGCGTTGCGTACATGCGTTTCTACAGTTCACAAGAGTGTCATTGGTTCCCATGGTGAGCATACTACAGGGGTGGTTTGGAATGACGCAGGAATGCCAGAGCGAAACAGTTACGGTGATTCGCAGCGGTGACGTCCCAGGAGTGGTGATGTGGCACAATTCAGCATCGTCAACCCGCAACACGAAGGTTGACGCGTGGTGTTGAAGTCCTAAGAATCGTATTTTGACGCGCTTCAGAATGTTCACACGGTTGTCCCCCAACCCGGCATTTCCCACAGCGGAAATGATTTGTTGCAAGGGTTTCTGAAGGGGGAGCTCGGAGGGATGGTGTATCCCAACGTCGTTGATGGGTCTTGGGTTTACATTGGTCGTCCTCCTTTTCCGCTGGTTTTATTTTTTCCTCATAAACACAATTCCGCCCTGTCGCATCCCGAGGCCAGTCGGAAGGGCGGGCCCGGCGTTTCGCCCGAGACTTCGTCACCATTTACGAACCTCGCGCTAAATTTTTTACAACAGCATCACAGATGGAGGGCGGGTCGCTTTCGAAATGTGGTTTTCGCTGTAGCGTCGCGAACATCCATTCCTCAAGATTGGCAAGAGTTTCATGGATGTAGGGCGGGTCGTTTTCGAAATGTGGTTCTCGCATCAGTGCCGTGCACATCCGCACGAAAAACGTGCAAGAGCTTTACGGATGGAGGGCGGGCCGTTTTCAAAATATGGTTCTCGCTTTTCGCCGCGCACATCCGTTCTACACACATACCCGATCTTCACGGATGGAGGGCGGCTCTCTTTCAAAATGCGGCTCTCGCATCAGCGCCGCGACATGTTTACAACAGTTTCAAGGATTATCATTGTTAACGTACCGGAAGTTGTAGTTTGGAAGGATGTCGGATTGGCAGGGCGCAACCGTTACGTTGGCTTGTGGTGCTGAAGTCCCAGGAATGGTGTTCTGGCACAATTCAAGATTGTCCAGACGCAACAGTAGCAGTGATTCGCAATGTTGAAATCCCAGGAATGGTCTTCTGGTACAGCTCAGGATTCTCAAACGTTTGTCTTCCAACAGGGCTTTTCCTTGAATGAAAATTGATCTTTATTGGGTTATGACGATGGAGCGTGTTGGAGGGTTTATTACAATATCGTTGATGGGTCTTGGGTTTACACTGGTCGTCCTCCTCCTCCGCTCCCCTCCTCCTCCTCCTCCTCCTCCTCCTCCTCCTCCTCCTCCCCTCCTCCATCCTCTCCTCCTCCTCCTCCCTCCTCCTCTCCTCCTCCTCCTCCTCCCTCCTCCTCCTCCTCCTCCCCCTCCTCCTCCTCCTCCTCCTCCTCCTCCTCCTCCTCCCCCTCCTCCTCCTCCTCCTCCTCCTCCTCCTCCTCCTCCTCCTCCTCCCCCTCCTCCTCCCCGAGGCACGTTCCCCTCCCCCTCCCTCGTGCGCCCCCGCTCGCCGCCTCCGTCCGCAGGGGGGGAGGAGGAGCGATCGGCGGCGCGCAGAGGTGAAACGCGCAGAGTGCTCGGAGGGCCCAGGAGGAAAAGGAGGAGGGGGAGGAGGAGGAGGATGGAGGAGGATGGAGGATGCAAAGGAGGAGGAGGAGGAAGGAGGAGGAGGATTGAGGCGTGGATGGAGGATGGGAGGGTGGAGGATGGAGGATGGTGGAGGAGTAGGAGGAGGAGGAGGAGTAGGAAGGAGAGGAAGGAGGAGTGAGGATGGTAGGAGTGTAGGAGGATGGAGAGAGGAGGAGGAGGAGAGAGACGGAGTGAGGAGGAAATGGAGGATTGAGGATGGAGGAGGACGAGGAGGATGGAGGATGCGGATGAGGATGAGGAGGCGGATGATGAGGACTGGATTGATGGAGGATGGAGGGGGATGGAGGATGGAGGAGGTAGGAGGAGGAGGATGGAGGAGGAGGAGGAGGAGGAGGAGGATGGATGGATGAGGAGGAGGAGGAGGAGGAGGAGGAGGGGGAGGAGGGGACCAGGGCTTCTCAGAGGGCTCAGAAGGCTTCGGTCTTCCGAGAAGCTTCCTGGGCCTTGTCCGAGGCCGCGGGGAGCTTCTGGGAAGGCCTGCCCCCTCTCACTTCCCCCTCGGTGCGCCGCCGAAGAACACGAGCGGAAGGAGCAGAAAGACATGAGATTGGCGATATACCATGGCCGGCGTTGTTGCATGTTGCTGCGAGGAGACGTCGCCTAGGCCGGACTCCGTCCTAGCGCCTCACAGACGCCACGGCCGTTCTGAATTCCAAGCCAGGGCAATGGAAAATGCACCTGTCCCGAACCCAATCAGCTGAAAACAGGGTAAGTAACGAACCAAGGAAATGCTTGTCATTGATTGGCATTGTTTGGCATTGCTTGGCGTTGCTCGGCATCGCTTGTCATTGCTGGGCATCGTTTGGCACCGCTTGGCGTTACTCGGCATGTTTTTGCGTTGTTGTTATATTGTTTGGCATTGCTTGACAATCTTGGGGATCGCCTCGTCAGAACCAGTAAAGAAGCAATGCCGAAGGAACCCAGGGAACCCTTGGGAAGGCCGGCCGGTCAAGGAAGGATTCATTAGGCAAGACTAATTGGCCAAAAAAGAAGGAGCAGAAGCTGGGTGAGGAGGAGGAGGAGGGTGGAGAAGGAGTGGGGGGGAGGAGGGGGAGGAGGAAGAGGAGGAAGAGGAGAGGGGAGGAGGAGAACGCGGGGCGCTGTCTCTTCAAAACGATGACCCAACACCACAGGATGGTTGGGAAAGAAAAAGGAGCAGAAGCAGGGTGACGATGAGCACCGCCTCTTCGGAGCTCCCGCCCCAAGCCGCGCGCCCAGGTGCTCTTGGCACTGCAGGTGTTGGACCTAGACAGCGCCTTCAGCCACTGGGCGAAGACAGAGTGCGCCGCCAGCGGCGTCTGCGGGGGGTAGAGCTGGGCGGGCGGGCGGGGGGGGGCGAGGAGGAGAGAGGCAGGGAGAGAGGGAGGGAGGGAGGGGGGGAATCGATTCACTCACTGATGAAGTCAAATCAATCAGCCAGGCCAGGCAATCGATTCACTCACTGATGAAGTCAAATCAATCAGCCAGGCCAGGCCACCAGGCCAGGCCTTACGAGAGGGACCTGGCTGGCCCCTGGCAGCAGCCGGCGTGGACCCCAGGGCACTCAGCGCGACGGCGGGGGCCCCCCCTGTGTGACGGGGGTGGGGCCGCACTGAGTGTGCCCCCGGGCCGAGGCAGGGAGGGAGGGAGGAACGGGGAGGGGTAAGGGAGGCAGGAGGGCGAAAGGGGTGGGGGGAAGCGCGGGGGGGAAGGGGGAGCGAGAGGGGGCGGCGTGGGAGGGGAGGGAGGAGGGAGGGGAGAGCAGGAGGGAGATCGGCGGGGGAGAGATCGGCGAGATCCGTCCGAGGGGGGAGGCGGCCGGGAGAGGGGGCCCAGGAAGTGTGTGAGCGGGGAGGAGTCGGATGGTCTCGACGTCTTCGAGGTGGCTCACGTGTCTGCGATCCTCGCAGGGGCACCGGCCGATCGCGCGCAGGAGCTCCATGGGAGGAAGAGGAGCCCACGGCCGACCCCAGACCCCCGACGTAATGATTTTTTCATTACGTCGACCTCCAGAGGTCCCGACCCTTTCCCCATGACCGGCTTTGCATCCTGAGTCGTTTTTTGACGCTCCCGAGGCCCGGTGAGGGCCCCCGGATGCCGAAAATTTGGAAAAACCTCCCGTCATGATTTTTTCATTACTCGAGGGGGTCTGGGACTGCGGAAGTCGTCGCACTTCGTGTCGCAAAACCCCCGACGAGCTGTGGGGATGCAAGCCCCTTCCTGGGGCGCCCGCTGCCGACGGCGCACGCACCTTACGCACTCGAGCCTCGAGTGCCTCGGCCTCCTCCTGGGAGCCGAAGCCGAAAAGGGCCAGACCCCTCACCGAGTCCACCTCGGCCCCTCCACCGTCAAGGAGGAGGAGGAGGAGGAGGAGGAGGAGGAGGAGGAGGAATGGCTTGGGAATCAACCTTCCACGTCTTACTGCGAGCTGCGCGCTGAGACCTTCTGCCTCAAAGCTCCCTCTAACTTATCGCGCACAGGATGCCACATGCGCGAACGCGCATTATCGCGGCGCACAAAGTGTGAGGGCGAGCAACATGTCCGAGCATACCTGCACAATCGCCACGGAGGTAGACGCTTGAGAAGAGAGTAGCACAGCGGACACGAGAGACGATGGCGAAGTCCTCGCCGACTCGGGCAGCCTAGACGAAGGCTCGTAGCACGAAACGTCGGGGAAGACATGTGTGTCAGCTTGGAGCAGGAGCCCTTCTGCAGGCCAGTTGAACCTGTACCCAGTTTCCTCTGGGCGGAGGGCCTGGCAAACCCAACGGGTGGGACCAGGCAGAACGCATCGTGAAGGCAGGTCCTGCGCCATGTGGGAAAGCCGAGCAGCTCGAACAACCGAAACTACATAAACAGAATTTGTCTGAGGTCCGCCCGGATGTAGTGGATCGGCGTTGGAGCACCCCTGGCGGCGTTTGCGGCGCCGCCCCTGGCGTGTTCCACGCACCAGGGATGATGATGTCGATGCCGATGATGATGGTGGTGATGATGATGACGATGATGGTGTCGATGATGATGATGATGATGATGATGATGATGATGATGATGATGATGATGATGATGATGATGATGATGATGATGATGATGATGATGATGATGATGATGGTGGTGGTGGTGGTGGTGGTGGTGGTGATTATGATGATGGTGGTGGTGGTGGTGGTGGCGGTGGTGGTGGTGGTGATGACGACGACGACGACGATTGTGATTGTGTTGATGATGATGATGCTGATGATGATGATGATGACGATGATGATGACGATGATGATGATGATGGTGATGGTGATGGTGGTGGTGATGGTGATGGTGATGATGGTGATGGTGGTGGTGACGGTGGTGATTACAATGATGCTGATGATGATGAAGATGAAGATGATGATGATGATGATGATGATGATGATGATGATGATGATGATGATGATGATGATGATGATGATGATGATGATGATGATGATGGTGGTGATGGTGATGGTGATGGTGATGGTGATGGTGATGATGATGTTGGTGGCGATTATGATGATGATGCTGCTGATGATGATAGCAGCGATGATGATGGTGCTGTTGATGCTGATGCTGATGAGGATGAGGATTTTGATGATGATGGTATCGGTGATGGTTAGGGAGATGATTGTGTTGATGATGATGTTGATGATGATGAAGATGATGATGACGAGCATTGTGATCATGATGATGTTGATGACGATGATGCTGATGAGGATCATGATTGCGATTACGATGATGATGGTGATGATAAGGATGAGGAGGATGATGATCATAATGATGGTGACTATGATGATGCTGATGATGATCATGAGTATGATGACGATGATGATGGTGATGATGAGGATGACGATGATGACGACGAGGATTATGATGACGACGATGTTCGTGGTGGTGATGATGCTCAACGCCAATATCATCAGCATCAACACCATCATCAAATTACCCCAGTGCGACCCGACCTAGAAGTTGGAGCCCCTAGGAAAGCAGCATTAGTTGCTATGCTATGCCATGCCATGCCATGCCATGCTATGCTGCGCTATGCTATGCTATGCTATGCTGCACTATGCTATGCTATGCTAAGCTATGTTATGTCATGCTGCGCTGTGCTGTGCTATGCTATGCTATGCTAAGCTGCGCTATGCTCTGATATGCTATGCTGCGCTGTGCTGTGCTGTGCTGCGCTATGCTATGCTATGCTACGCTATGCTATGCTATGCTGGGCTATGCTATGATATGCTGTGCTGCGCTATGCTATGCTACGGTCTGCTGTGCTCTGCTGTGCTCTGCTATGCTAAAGCTCGGCGAAGCTAAGATGAAGGTAAGCTAAGCTAAGATAAACCTGAGCTAAGATGAAGCTAAGCTAAGCGAAGATGAAATAAGCTAAGCCAAGATGAGATAAGCAACGCTAAGCTAAGGGGACGCAACTGGGGGAACCGCGGGGCGGATGCCGGGGGAACCGCCCGAGGCGGGCAAGACGATAAGAACCCTTCTAGGCAGAGCCTAGGTAGGGAAAAAACATCAATCATCAATCCCTCCACTAATCCATCCCTCCATCCCATCCCATCCATCCATCCATCGTCATCCATCCATCCATCAACATCAACATCATCATCATCATCATCATCATCATCATCATCATCATCATCATCATCATCATCATCATCATCATCTCTTTTAGTTTGATCCCCACCTCTCAAGCGAGAGCCTCCTTGCTGGAAAAAAGTAACCACTCACCATCCATGCAACTGCTGGAAAATGTTAGCTCGACGCCACGCCTAACGCCCAGCCGCCACCCTAACGACACCGCTGGTGGTGCGACAGGGAGAAGTCTCATGACTCTTTCCCCTGCTGATCCGTGATCATCATCATCATCATCATCATCATCATCATCATCATCATCATCATCATCATCATCATCATCATCATCATCGTCATCGTCCAGCGCCGATCGAAGAAGTCCGCGCGGACGTCCTAGAAGCCATGCTCATGCCGGTGCCCGCACCTCCAGCAGCGACCGGCCAGCCCATCCCCCGGCCTTCATCACCGCTGCGTCGAACTCTTCCTTCGCCAGGACCCACTCTGGAGGGTTTCTCCGAAGGGCTTAGGCGACCCGTCCTCCTCCTACTCCTCCTCCTCCTCCTCCTCCCTCCTCCTCCTCCTCCTCCTCCTCCATCTCCTCATCCCCCTCCCCCTCCTCCACCTCCTCCTCCTCCTCGGGTCGCCTACGGCCCGGGAGGACACCGTGCAACCCACTCCGAGTCTCTGCTTCATCTTGGGAAGACCACGCCATCGTCATGTCGCTTCCGGTTTCGTGCGTGCTCTTGTGGATCATGCGTCGTCGGGCACCACTGGTGTTGCCACTGCTCGCGCATAGCCTCCACTGGCAGAGCTGGCGCTGGCTGCGTCTGCTCGACAAGCGGAGTCGCCAGCGTCCAAACTTGAGATGACCACTGCGCTAAGTGTTCTTTCCGCTGGCGTCCGGCCGGCTCGCCGTGCCATCTGGCTCTCGGACGCGGCACCTTCAGAGAGCCACGAAGGCGCGTCCGACTGCGTTCTCATCCCATTCGCCACTGTCTTGACCAGCCCATCCCAAACAGCACGGGCAAAACCATAGAAGTGCTCGTCATCGAGCTGGCCCATGGGGTGTCTACCCGTGCGAGAGCGCACCCAAAGAGGGCGCCCGTGCAGTCGAATGCAGCCGTCGTCGGTGCTCCATGGACTGGTCGCGGCGGAGCCTCGGAGGCGAGGCCGCGGCACGCTCGCCAGGGAGAGAGAGACCTCTTGGGCCGGTCACTTAGTCGGCCGACTTCCACGGCGCCACGTCCCACGGCAATCGCCAGGGCACTCCCCAGGCATCGGGCGTCTCGAAAAAATCGAGACGGAGGTTTTTCATAGTCGTCGGCCTCTCGGGGCCCTCGCCGGGCCTCGGGACCGTCAGGAAACGGCTCGGGAGGAAAAGCCGGACTCCCAGGGGAGTGGTCGGGAGCTCGGGGGCCCGCGCCTCGAAAAAAAGTCGAGGCGTCGGAGCTCTGGGCCTCTCCGCGCGCGCGCTGCCCGCGCCCCGTGGCTCCAGGGAGGGCAGGAGCCCCGCCACCAGAGCCACGCGCCGCCGCGCCGCGCTCCTGGGCCGGCGCGCGGCCTCGCGCCTCCTCCTCCTCCTCCTCCTCCTCCTCCTCCTCCTCCTCCTCCTCCTCCTCCTCCTCTCCTCCTCTCTCCTCCTCCTCCTCCTCCTCCTCCTCCTCCTCCTCCTCCCTCCTCCTCCTCCTCCTCCTCCTCCTCCTCCTCCTCGGGAGGGCGC